AAAGAAAACTACTTACTCAGACTATTTACTCCTTGTGGACCTCTGAGAGCCGGCCCCTGTTTCACACATTGTCTCACCCCTAGATAGTGCTTCACCCGTTTTCACTCGTTTTCGATTTCTTCACCCCTCTAGCGACGCGAGGCTTGACCTCACCGCGTGCCCTAAGGTTTTCAACAAAATTTTCTTCTGACTGTGCGGCCATGTGCGCGTTGGAGCTTGGGTGTCGGCTCCGCTGCAGGATGCCGTTACCAGATGCGCCGTGCACTTTGGAGCCTTTGGGTGTTGCTGCCATGTCAAAGGCGCGCGCCGTTGAAACCTGTGTGCTGGTCCGCTGCAAGGTGCTGGCCGGGTGCAAGATCTGTGCCCTGTACGCTGTGAAGTTAAGTGCATGCAGTGCCGGGATGTCCAGCTTGCCCTTCAGAGCCTGCATGTTGGTGTCGCTGAGGCCGTTGCAGGGTGCCCTTGCCAGATGTTTGTGGCAGTGCGCGATTTGGCTGGTGAAGGCTGTTTGCGTCTATGTTTGCGTTGTTTGGCGTAGTTGATGCTTCAGTGTATTCGTTGGACGGGTGGGTTTTGTCAGAACTTCCCGTACTAGGGAAACAAAAACGTTTCACGTGTATGTTGGTTCTACTGAATTACTGACAAGAAACCCTGTGGCCCAGAGGAAACTGTGAGTTCCTATGCCCGACGTTGGTTCCGTTGCGTGTTGAAATGGACTTTGCGTCACGTTTTTGCATTTGTGGTCTATTTTTGAATGGCTGCTCCGTGTTTAAAATTTTCTGAAGGCAGTTGACCTGGTTTGTTCCGCGGAAGTGGTTGCATTGCCAAGTGTCAGCTCCAACATGTGCAGGCCAATTTGTTGTGATTCAGATGGGTGGCAAAATTTTGGCACGGTGACCACACAAAATGTGCAAATAACAAATGCGATTCTGTGTCCTGAGTCCTGGGTCGTTACAATAATTTTTCGTCATGGTAAAGATTTCGCAGCTTGATGTTCGTTTTGTAGCGCAACTGCTCACTTCTCAACATGAACGCAAACATTGAGCAAAACAAGTTGCTGGAAACCTGGATCTGGCAGAGTGCCCAGCCATTTCGACGCGGGATATTGTTTTCAAGGTCCGCAGCGACTCCGAAGCCTATGAAACTTTGTGGGTGCATTTTCCTTGATAGTGTCGTGCGGCTCCCAAGGGGACCACTGTAGGAAAATGTGCGGCATTGCGATTCAAAAATCCGCAGATGTTAAGGCCAGCGCCCTACTTTTGGAAACCACGGAGCCATTGTGGTCCATGGGTGGGTTTCGTGCACCACTAGGTTCATTTGTTTTGATGAACATTTACTTTTGTGAACAGGTGGCAGCGCCAAGGACACGGTTCGGGGTAAGATGGGTTTTGGTGTGTGGTATCATGTGGTTTCGTGATGAGTGAATACGGGGTGTGGTCAAGAATCGGTGGACGTAACGTGGGTGGTGTTCATGGAAAGTGTTGATACATGATTGGCGGATCTGGTCAGTTTCTCCGCCGATGCCGGGGGTGCCGTCCAACAAAATTCTGCAGCATTCAGCGTTCATGTTTTTTTTCCCTCCTGCGATGGTAAGTCAGGGGCGAGACGGAAATATGGCACAAGGTGAAAAAGCGGGTTATGTACAGGGTGAGACGGAGCGTGCCCCAAATCCAAGCCCGCGAAGGAGGAAAGTCCAGAAAGGATAATCCAGGCAGTCGACTAGAAGTGGCAGGGGGTGTGTCAAGGGGCTGGGAGACGGCTGGCTGGAGGGGTTGCGTCGAGGCGGTTTTGTGCGAGGAGTTGGCCGTGCTGGCCTTCGACGTTGGTTTGTGGGGCCAAATCCAAGCCCTGGAGGGATGCTGCATATGCTGTGAATTGAAAGCCGCATGTGAAAGCATAGCTGACCAGCGACTGAGCAAGGCTGATGCCACGGCTGGCGGAGCAGGGGTGTGGCTTGACGGGCCCGGTGTTGAGCTAATAGGCGGAGGAAGGTGCAAGACTCTTCTGTTGTTTTTGCACCACATACGACACCCCGGATGATAGCTTCAACCCCGGAGTCTTCGCAAAAAGCCTCACCGGCGTGTGGATTTGCAACCCTTGTGTGCGCCCACCGCCGTTTTGCACCCAATCACGTGCTTCTGTTTTTTATGTTTTATTCCGCTGTTCTACCTTTCGTGCCTCTTTGTTCTCAAGCATGTTTACGAGTGTTTGGGACGGATTGTGGGCCGGTGTAAGGTTGGATGATACGGAACCTAACACGGCAGTGTTTCCCTCCCATGTTCCACGCATCGGTCTTGTAGTGTCCTCAGTGCCGTTGGACACTCGGTGGTTTTTTTGCGCGGAAAGCAAGGCAAATTGAGGCATCGGTCTTGGATGGTCGAACTGATTGTTTTTTTCGTTTTCGCACGTGCATAGTGAGCAGGAAAAACAGGCGACGGCTTGCTTGTAGTTAGCCTGCTGATTTCACAAGTGGCCAGGGCTCCTCGGATCGGCGCTCCGAAGGGAGACGGCTGAAGGAAGGAAACAACAAATTGGATCTCAGAAGGCTTAAGTTACCAGCGCCACTTGATTGGAAACCACTACTGTTAAAATAACACATTGTTTGCTCATGGTAGGCGTAGCCAAGACGAATTTTGGCAAGACGGGACGACTTACAGTATGTGCTTGTAGTCTGTGGAAAGCACGCATGACACAGAACACCCGTGAGGATTGCAGTTGACATGTGTTCACTTCATGCCATGATCCTCGATGGTTGACATGGCCAAACCATCCATTTGGAGCATCGAGGCAGGCCTTTTTGTATGCTCTTGATTGTTTGGCGGCACTGTTTCATCAACTTGTTGTGTTGGATGTGAATGTCAACGCTGCGGGTTGTTTTGTGATTGTCGCGTTGCCCTGTCAAGGCCACTTGTCCAAGAACAGTTGCTCGCCAGGACCCGTGCAGTGTGCGCCGGAGAATTCAATGTGCAACATGCGCCCATCGACAGGGAGGGTTCCGCTGGAACGCGCAGCCCCCATGCTGCTGCTTGCAATCAGCTGTGCCGCCCTTTGTGCCTGCCGTGATTCTTGTAGACGGTCTAGGCAGCAGGCGGTGGACGCGACAAATGCAAACAAAAAACGAAGATCAAGAATCAACAGGACTGGTTTGGCCCGTTCTATGCTGGTGAGCTTGGTGCAATTTTCTGTCGGCCGTTTTTCTTTGGGCGCAAGCAAAGCTAGAGCTTGGCTGGGGCCACAACACAAAAAATGTTCACGAAACATGCACCGTTGCATTTTGCCACGTGCTGTGGCACAACGTGCGTATGCGGACTGCCTGCACCCGCTGGCTTCCCAGCAAAACAGCTGGACTGGGAAGAGCCGCTCCCCAGCGACGTCTTCGCAGTATACACTGTCACGTTCCCAGGCCCGATGAGGATCAAGAACCAATGGTTACGATGCAGGGCCGCGACAAACTCGCCAACCAGGCAGGTGACAATGGGGCGCCTTCCGCGCTCAAACCCATGCTGTTTAACGTTGGCAGCGCTGCCGGCCACAAAAATCGCAGTGTGCCGTTTGCAATGCCGAAGCCCAAAAAAGGAAATATATTGCACCTTTTGGTTTTTGGTGGCGAGAGCGTTTTTCCAACGGGGCGCAACAGTAATTTTCAATCAAGAGTATGAGGGTGAAAATTTGAGGATCCGATGTGTAGGTGCGGGCATGTGTAACACATGGTCATGCCCCGCCGCAGCATGCACGTTCTGAATTGGACCATGTTCCATTTCGGCCAACGTTTTTTTTCTCAGCCTGTTCGCGTGCGAATCGGGGCCGGCTGCTGTGTACTCAAAAGCATGTCGCTGAACGGGGGGGGGGGCGGCGCGCCGCCCTCCCCCGCCGTCCTCGCGGACCTTACGCAAGACGCGCCCTGCCATCTCACCTCTCGCACGACGCTGCTGTCCCCGCAAATTTTTTTTGAGGAACAAATGTTTAATTTTTTTCGTGGCCTCGGAGATGATGACACAAAGGCAACCAGAAATAATGTGAGGGAAATGGAAGTCCTGCAGGATCTGATCGAAGGGAGGTTCCCACCAGTTGGAGCTTTCTAAAGAACAAACGCAATTGCTCCTCGAGGTTGAGGCCATGCAGAGATTGCTTGCTGTAGGTGGTTTGGATGCTGCAGGTCAGGGTTTGACGGAGCGTGGTTGGATATTTTTGAATCTTTTGAATCTTGGTGGTGTGACCGCAATGTTCAGCGATAGGCGTCGGCCAGACCCAGCACAGCAATTGATGGAAGGAAAATGGAAAGTAGAGTGTTTTGATTTTGGTGTTGATGGAGCAGGCATTTGGTGGAGGTCGTCATTTTTGAGTACCTCGCAGAAATTGGCACATGACGTGGAGAATTCAGCCACTGTGCTTCCTCAAAGCCAACTGGCAACTTGGTGGGGGCACTTAGAGAAGCAACCAAATCAAAAAACAAATATACAAATTTTGGCACTTGAACTCGCAGAACGGTTTCACGGCTCTTTTTCACAATCGCCCCAAAAGTTCAACAACAAAAGACAATTACGATTCAAATCATGCACGAAAAGACCCGCTGCGCATTTGGAAAACGGACTTGTTCTGAAATCCAGTAAGGTGTGTGTATTTGGTTGGTGAATTGCAAAGCGATCACCGAGATTCGTACAGCTGGAGCGGGCAACGTCCCCACGATGAATGGCCAAAGTGCACAAGTAATAACGACAGTTTCATCGCGAAAAAACATACTGTAATTGAATGCTGCATCGTTGATGCGTTTTTTTGTGACATTTTGCCAATCCGTTCTTGACTCATAGCTTTTCGAAGGGTATGGGCGAAAACCGGTGACCAGACAACTAGAATGCAATCAGCATGTGCTACCTGCAGCACATTGGTGCCAACATTGCCCAACAATAAACAAAAATATTTGCTGAACAGTTCTTGTCGTGAATCATTGAGCCCTGGCAACCTCCATTGTGGCGCAGCCATGCTTCAAAGAGTTTGCGGCGATGGCTTCTACAGAGGACGGATGGTTGCAATACGGACAGCCAATGCAAAAATGGAACCAAGTGATCATGGCAAGGACGACGATGTAGCATCCAGACAGTGCTTCCCTCAAGTGATTGGCATGCTTGTCCGGGAGTGGATGCTTATTTCTAATTCTAGCGCCCAGTTCCACATTGAACATGGCCTCCGCAACCACACAGCATGAATGCAGATAAAAAAACGTGTGGTTTCTGAGGTTGGAGTGGCTTCGGAAAGTGCGGGAGGTGCACCGTGTGATCGATCGGCCGCGCATGTCACCATGGTGGCTTCCCCGTGTTGGCTTGTGAAAGGGCCAGTAATTGGTTTTTCCCTTCTTCGGCGTGGCCAAATTGAGACAGTGGTCGGATGTGGTCAGCAGTTTTGCCATGTTTTGGCCTTTACATACAAGAAACATAGCCAGCAAAGTCGAACGAAAACCCACCATGGAGGTCTGTGCAAAGCCAGGCTGAAAGACGTGCGGCGTGCGTGCAATTGCGAATATGCAGTGAGTCGGACAATGGCATGTGCAGTGTTGCCGGTAGCCTGCTTCTTCGAGGCTGCAGATGTTTGGCTGTTCCCTTTCTCGTTGATCGCCCGGGCCATGGAACCTGCAGATGTCGAAAAGACCTTGCTAAGCCTTCCGTGCTTGAAATCAGGGGGAGCGCTGTGTGTGACAAATTGTACTGACACCGAATGGCACCAGATGTATGTCGTGGACGATGGGCACATGAAGGTGGTTGTTAGCATTCCATCGTGGACGGGCCTGGACTCTTGAAGTTGGTGTAGTACGGCATTTCCCCCCCGAGGTACCTCGCATCAACAAATAACGCCAAACTTTTTGGTGCCCGTGCTTGGTGCCGTGATTTCTCGTAACCGTACCCAAGGAACTTCGGAGCAAGATTCTGGCATCTGAGTGTTTGGGCCAGACCGTGGGTCCACGGCACCTCGCGACCCTCGAAGGAGAAGGAGGTCGAAGACTCCTGGTGAACGAGTTTCTGGAGGGCGGCACATTGAATGTACCGGATCTCACTGCAAAAGTGCTTCGCGATGTTGGACGCTGCACTCTGTTGCGTAAATTTTTGTTGCTATGTTTTGCATGGGCTCTTGCAAGCATGTCCAAAAGCAAGTCTTGTGACGTGGAAGAATCAAACTCGGTGTAGGCCAACTATATGCCCAACTGCATCGCACAGACACCTCCTGGTTCGATCCTGTGCGCGAGGCACGGTCGCCATTTGAATCAGAGTCATTAAGTGTTCATCAACTGGAGACATTGAGAACTGCCCCGCACCAATTATAGGTTGTATGTGTTGGATCACTGTCCAGAAGTGATGGACTTGGGGCTATGAGAGGGCTTAATGACAAACACACTTTCACAGGCGCATGAACTCGAAGAAATCATGGCTTTGCAGTGGGAAGTTCGGGAAATGTGCCCGAGACTATGTGCATGATGTGTCCAGGAGCTTGCCCGGAGCGGAGATCTCCACATCGAGGGGTGCGACTGGACGTTTTGCCTCTGGGTGCTTCCTCGCTTGCAATGTCTGCTGGCATTGGGGCTGGGGGTGGTTCGAAAGGGTTCTGGGAGGTTTTTTCTGTGCAACAACGGGCGCTTCGATAATTAATGACAAGGCCATTTCCCATGCCTCAGATTTTCTAGAGCGCACTGGACATGAGAGGGGTTTGTAAAACCATACGTATCGGTATAAGGGCCTTTACTAGCGGTTACTAGCGGAGATGAGACCCTGTTGAAAGGGGGTGGATTGCCCTTTGTCAGTGATATAGAATGATATAGATGTAGAAAGGCGAAAGGAGGAGGCGGAGGATGCAAGACCCATGCCCAGTCCACATCTGCCTGAGCCGCGCCAACTTAAGGCTTGGTCCCCGAGGCGAATCGCGAGGAACTGCACAGCCGAGGCGATCCAGCGAGGGAGAAGCAGAGTTGAGGAGTAGCAGCTGACAGAACATCTGACCTAGTAGGATTTCGTTTTGCCAGAAGAACATGCAACAATTTGACGAACGACGGGGGCACACATGAAGTCTTTTCGGGTGACCCCTTTATACCACTTGGGAGGCGTGGATTGGGCCTTTCTGGCTCGGGAGATCCAAGAGCTCCCGACGAACACGGCGCTGCCCAGTGGCACGGCGGTGTCGAGCCGCAAGGAGCGCTAGTGATAGTGGCCGTGCTTTTTGGGGTCCACTCACTTTGGGCTACACTCACTTTGGGCTACTGCATCATACATGCCATGAGCGGAATTCCTCCAAATTCAACCGAGCCTGTGGTTTTTGGTTTCGCTTTTCCATCCTCGTCGGCTAGGTCGGAAAATCCAAAACGGAGGATCTCTGTAACTATGTATGCAGCATGCATTTGTGTGTGTGTGTGAGGTGTTGGGGGCCAATGACCTGCTGTAGGGCGTGTGCGCAGGGCATGCGCTTGCGCTTGCATCATTGCATAGATGCCAGCCCAACTGGTCAACAGCAGTACCTACCTACCCTACTCACCAGCATGCCTGCCCATAAGTGATCATAAGTGACCCAGCTGCCTTGGTGCCACCATGGTGCTGTCAGATTCGATGCCCTGCCCTGCCACAGGCTTGTGTCCACGGTGATGCGCATCTGGGCAACATCATGTGGCACGAGGATCGCCTGAGACTTATTGACTTCGATATGACGGCGCCTGGTCCCGCTGGAGCTGATTTGGCGTATTTGGTTCTCATGCTGCGACTTGGCTAGGCCATGCGACTGGCCCACCTGGATCGTGCCTGCTTCGGAAGAGAAACATGTCCTTTTGTGCTTGCATCGTACCACCAATAGCAATGGGGGATACCTATCAAAAAAGACATGATTCCTACAGTATCAAAAAAAAATTGATTCCTATCTAAAAAACATTACAATTAATTCATATCAAAAAAAATCCGTCCTGGTCTGCTGGTTCCCTGGTCGCTTGGTCCTTTGGTCCCTTTGTCCTGGTCCCTTGGTCCCTGGTCCCTTGGTCCTCTGGTCCCTTGGTCCTTTGGTCCCTTGGTCCTCTAGTTTTTTGGTTCTTTGGTCCTTCGTCCTGGTCTTCGGGTCCTTGGGTCTGTACTTTCGAGGCAAGACGGCAGGGTAATGCTTGTGAGGATTGCGTTGCACCCTTAATGCATTTTCAATCGCACCCTACTACTGATGAACATCCGGAGAATCTGCACAACAACATGGAACTTCCGCTGCGGCAGGTGGTGCGGATGCGGTTCAGGCATCCGCGTGGTGTTCGTTTCGCTGCGTTTCAGTTCAGCTGCTCAGGGCTTCCCAATTTTTCGCCGAGGTTTCGCTGTGGTTTCAGCCGTGACGCGGTCGCCGATCTCAACGCGCAGAAGGAGTTCGCTCGCGGCTATTTGACGGGTTTGGGCGAGCTAGATGAGGGTCCTCGGCTTGAGGAACAGCTTGAGGAGTTCCTTTTTGAGATGCACCGTTGGGCGTACCCTGGTGGAATGATTCTGAGGGCAGTTGAGTGTGTCGGTTTGGAGTGTGTCGGTCTGGAGTCCAGACTTTGGACATGCAAATGCACAAAGGTGGCTCCATGAGGGTGGCTATGAGGTTTTAGAGTTCTAAGTCTTGTTCGGAAGGTAGGTTTTGGGGTTCGCTTCTTGGTCAAGTGTGATGTTGCCAAGGTATGTCGGCATGATTCAGATGGGCTTGCTGTGCGCGGTTCTCATGCACAACGAGGGGCACCCACAGAAGCGTGAACTCATGCAACTACGGGGCCCTGTGCTACTGCATCCCAGCTTCCTCTCAAAGGCCAAGGACATGCCTCTGGTACGAAACCATGGTATTGTCCAGTCATTTTCGTTGACTTCCGCTTGAAATCTCGAGTAATTCTGCAGCACTTTAACACTGGGCTGGCAGGAGATCATCCAGGAAGCGATCCTGGACACGAGCTTGCGAGCCGAGGTGCTCGAGCAGGGGCTCTTCTTCGTCACCGAGGCGCGCTGGACGCCTTGAAGATTGCAGCCCCGGCGGGGCCGGGTGTGGCTGAGCGGCCTTCCCTGGGCCGATGGGGCTCGTAGTAGCTTCCTGCTCTTAGTAGTAGCCCATTTGCTCCTAGTAGCTTCTTGCTCCTAGTAAGGCCGGAAGCGTTTGGACCTTTTGTGATCGCGTTCTTTTTTGTACAGCCTGAGCCCCGAAAAAGGGCGGTGCGATCTGGGCGATCTCGGCGAGCGGCTTGTGGCCGAAAGGGGCGACAAGTGTAGCTGTGGTGCCGTGGCCTAAATGCCCGACGTTCCAAGAGATGTGCAAGTGCATGTGCCTAATGGCTGCCGGGTCATGGGTCCACGTCGGTCGCATCATGGGCTGACCAGCATCGCAGCATCCCAGCTTCGCCCTGCGAAAAACGTCAGGTGCTCCAGGTGTCAGTTCATCGGTTAGAATGTGTGAGTTGGTGACATCCAAGCATCCTTGCACCTTCCTTGCTAGCCATGACGAGTCAACTGGCCGTTTACCTGAAGCGGCCCTGATTTCAGCTTTGCCAACGATGGGTGTGCCGGCCGTGTGACGCTCCAAGCGGCGTCGACCCAACATATCAAAAGACACACGGCCTGGTGTCGGTGCAAGTTCTTTTTGCCAAGATGAGGCGATTTCGGAGCCCTCCAGGTTTGGCCTTTGAAGGACCTTCCGACCACAGCCCTGCACCAAGTCACCTAACCCTCACACCCTGTGCCAATCCACCCTGTCGACCGTTCTTCCGCCCCTTCCGCCGGCGTCCGTCCTTCCCGCCTTTTGCCACATGTGGGACCGCGAGGCTGTGCACCTGACTGGTCCACCGCCTCCAGAGGTGTTGAGGTCGCTGGCGCCTCCAGAGGAGGCGCGGATGTGAAGAGATGGAGGGCGACAGAGTCGCTTTATGTTGAGTTTTAAAGGTATGAATATAAATCATATATATTTTTATATACCTATCTATCCTTGTCCCTTCATCCTCTTCTGGAATGCTTATTTGATCTCGTCCATCCACGTGTGGATGGCGTCTTTCGACGCCTTCGTCCGTGCCGCGGACCTTCGTCCGTTCCCAGGACGGAAGCGACGACGACGTGACGGATCGAAAGACCTCCGAGCCGAGCGAAGGGAGGCGGGCTCAGCTGGGCCGGTAGAGTCGAAAGAGGGAAGAAACAAGAAGAAACGTGCGTATATATTGTAATATGTTGGAAAGAGCACTTGGGTCGCGAGGCACACCGTGTCGCAGGCAAAATCACTACTGTTGGCATGCACAGATAGAGATAAAATATAAGATGAAGAAAGAACGAAGGATAGAAAGATAGATAGATAGATAGACAGATAGATAGTTACATCACATATCGCAGTCTCTGGATTTATCTCCTCCATCCTGCACCGAACGGATGGCAGGGGCTCGGTGCGCCGGGAGCAGAGGGAGCCGATCTCGCCCACCAGCCCGAAGGTGGTTGAGGATTGGGAAAGGCTTTTTTGAGGATGTAGGTTCCAGAAGGAAAAGTCAACATCAAGAGTCAGAGGTTTTCTTTTTGGCGGTTTGGGAGGTTCCTTTAGTGCTTCGGCCTGGCTTTGTTGACTGATTCTGATGGGGGTGGGGTCAGCATGGTCATGGTCCCCATCACGCCGCCACTGCGGAATTTTCAAGCAGAACAAAGAAACAGCTCCGTGCGTCCGCGTTTTGTTCATCATGTTCCCAGCATTTGAGCTCGGTCTTCGAAGCATTTCGCCTGTTGGTGTCCTTTGGATGGCACCGCCTCGTTTGGCCGCATCGGCACGGCGACGTTCGAGGAGCTGGCGAGCCTGCGCTGGGAGCTTCAAGACCGACAGAGGAGGGGCAGGGCCTCCGCGGTTTTCGTGGCGCCGGCGGCTGCCCAAAAGCATTCTCATGAGCTGATATGAGCTGTAGCTTTACAATGCTCCGCGTGGTAGCTATGAGCTGGAACGGATATGACTTGAGAATCATGGGTGGGACACACACACTGCGAGCGGGCGGGTCTTTCTTTTTTCCAGGACGGTGACGCAGCTGGAGGAGCTAGTTGACCTGTCCGGGGGCTTTAAGAGATTGTCATTGGGGCCTGGATTTTGTCAGAGGTCATTGAGGTCATTGAGGCGCTGACTGGTCGTGTGGAGGACCCTTTGCAGCGGGTGCTGTGTTGTTTGGGAGCAAGGTCGCTAGATTAGGTGTTCTGTGCTGTCTGCATGTTTGCATGTTTATAAGGCACCATGGTTGAGGTGAAGCATCCTGAGGCAAGCAGAATGAGAACCTCTCAAAGTAATTTTGTTGTTGTTGTTGTCGTCGTCGTCGTCCATTTTTGCTCTCCCGAACCGGCCAACACAAGACCTGCGTTTGGAGGAAAAAGCACTTCCCAGGAAGAACGAAAAAGGTCAAAAAAGCTCTTCCAAGCTGGACCGGGCCGGCTGGGGATGGATGGCTGGGGCGTAGCGCTTAGGCTGCAAACCCGATGTCGCGAGTTGGAGGATGAGAGCCGCGAGCTGCTCGGTTCCGGCGGTAGTGCCGCGCAGAAGATGGCGCGGAGGACGTGACGCGAGGTCGGTTGGGAGGAGCACGGGTGCAGGTGCCCAGCGGTTCCAAGAACCCGTCTGCAAGGGGGAGTGTTGGATGCTATGGCTGTGAGGGTCTTTTCGACGTTCGGAGAGCCTGGTCCAAGTGGCACAAGGCTTGTGGACTTGGCTGCCTCGAAGCACGAACAAGAGCAATTGGAGGCCAGAGTCTGCATGACGACTTGGGCTTTGACCAGGCGTTCTTCGGTGGATTTTCACGTGGACTACACTATAGATACTTTAGCAGGGATCCCCCAAATTTGCATTGGTTATTTTGTGTCTTGTTCTGTTCTAGGGCCTAGGGTCTTGCTTGGTTTTCCTATTCGCGACATGTTCCGTGCTGGGGCATTCGTGTGCCGTGACGGTCACACCGTTGAGTGGCAAGAGGATTCGCATCCTGCGTGGCATTCCTGCCCCGAGGATGCTGACATGCAGAAATATGGTCTGGATGAGACCTACCACATATATATACAGTATATATTATATATATATATCATATATCAGCCTGTAAAGCTTCATCATTGTGTACTTTATTCACTTCTGGCAAAGACATTGGCCACAAGTCAGAATTTTACCGTACGCCTGAATGCTAAGGTATATAATTAAAGTAGAATCCCCAAGCACGTGCTCCCAGCCGAAAAGGACTGGAGGAGGATGCCAACCCATGGGTAGTAAGTGTTCAAGTTGACTTTCGAGGCACGGACCAGACGGACCACATGCTCAGGTTCAAGCAGGGTTGGGGGAATCTTTGGACGAAAGACGCCCCACACGAGACGAAGTCTCAACCAGCTCCTTCTTCTGCTCTCACCTCCCGGTCGCTGGAGCAGGCGGGTGTCCCACACGAGCGCCGAGATGAAGATGGCGCGATACGGGAGACGGCGGTCCGGGCGAACGACCGGCGACGACCAGGGCGGTACACCGGTGCGGTTGGGCGGTGTTCTGGAGGTGTTCCTAAGGTGTGGGATTTTCCTCCTCCTGGGTGTTGAGGTTGCGACAGCCCGTTCGGTGGAGGCCATGACACAAGAAAGAGGCGCCCCACATCTGGAGAAGGATTCTGATCTTCTGAGGTAACACCATCGCTTCCTGCGAGGTGGCTGTTCTGACCTGCGATCCGCTGACCACCCGCTCCAGGTCTCCAGTCCTGCTCCCCAGCGTCAGCGTCCGCCGGCCGTGGACGTTCCGCAGACTACATCGCGTCCATCAAGGAGCGGCAGCTCTCGCGGGAGCCCATTCCTCCACTGGGCCCGGGGCGCCGAGACATGGGGCACATACATCGGGGCGGACAGGTGGAGGGAGAGGTGCTTTTTTATGGCGAGAGAAGCGCTTGAAAGACGTAGAAGCACAGACACAGCTCATAACTAGCCAGTGCAGCCATCCCCCAATGGATCCTAGACTCATCAACCAACCACGACAAAAGGCATGATCATAGGCCATGGGACCTTTGCCACTGTCGCTGCTGGGCTCAAGGAGGTGTAGGCCAAGATCAGACGAGGATTGAGTCCAGCAAGGTGCGCGGCACTCTCTCTTGGTGTGATGAATCAAGAGGGGGAGACCGCCAAGTGTACTAGCCACTACAGTAGGTGTATGGTCCTAAAAAGATATCTTTGGGCCAAACAGTCTCCTACTCGAAGGACGGGGTTTGTTCGGCCCCGGTGACCCAGCAGCGAGCGAGCCTCATTTTGTTCCCGGCTTGGTGGAGGGCCGAAGCAGGCCTTCATTGCCCTTTCTGTGTTCCCTCCACAGCCCAATTACTATATTTATAGTATCTTATTTTTCATGCTTTTTCGCTCAAGACATTTCTGTCAAGAAAAAACCATGAGTATTTGAAAAAAGTCAGGTACCAAATCGACGATGGCACCCCTCTCGTTCTTCTGGATTGAACAAAGAGAAGCCATCTCCATGAGGTGGACCTTATGGGAAGATGAAAAGGCAGATTGAATCGCATGTCCGTGTCGACAGCCCTGATGACCGATGACCTGTTGACGATGGACCCAACGGTGTGGATTCCTTGCAGATGGTGTTCGGGATTTCTTTCCATTCCTTTCCTTCCCTTCCCTTCCCTTCCCTTCTTTCTTTCTTTTGAAGGGCAATGTTTGCAGGGCGCTTCTCGGGGCTTTTCGTCTTCTTTCGTTTTTCCCCTTTCCCCCTTCGCCTGGCCACTCCCATCGCAGCCGGTCCAGGGCGGTGTCCCACCATGGCTCTCTCGGCCAAGCTGGTGCCGAACGACGCCCTGGGCGCCCTGGGCGCGGAGCGCGATGGTCTCACGTCCGCCGAGGCGGCGAAGCGCATCGAGGACGGCGGGGAACGGGAGGAGGGAGACTGGCAGGAGCTGTGAGGAACAGGAGACATCTGCAGAAAGAGAGGAAAGAGGAGGGTGGTGAAGGTCTGAACCCGTTCTTGTGGGGTCCGGAGGTCAAGGGGACGTTGCAACGTGGAGCACGTCCAGTAAAGCTTGGAGCTTTGCAACAATTGCTGAGATCTTGATGAATCTATATCAGGATCCCGAGCGAGATCGGTCTATTCCCGAGTGAGATCGGTCTATTACGGTCTATTTAAGTCTATTTATGTAACTTGGCGTTTCTGGTTGAGGTCCTGGGGCCGATGAACGGCCCCGTCCCTGAACGCCATGGCCGCATCGCCCCATGCCACGCTGCGATGTGGCAGTAGTTCGTCCATCGGCCATCGGCCCGACGCCGAGTCCTGCTGCGCGCCTGGGGGCCCTTGCAGGAGTATGGCCCCAACGAAATCCCAGTGATTGAGACACCCATCTGGAAGATGATCCTGTCACAGTTCGTGGGCCTCTTGGCTGGCAGAGGGGGATCTTTGATCGGCAGGGGCAGGTTCTGGGGAAGAACTCCATCCCACCAGGGAGGGTCTATGCAAGGCTTGAAGTATCTTGAAGTCAGGGTTTTGGGCCTGGGGCCGAGCTAGGACATGGACAAGCAAGTCAGCTTTAGCAAGCTTACTCGCTTCAGAAGAGGAGGGTGCTTAGGGTGCTTGATCCAACGGCGGCTTCACTGCTGTAGAGCTTGGTCACCTGAGCTGCTTTGCAGGTACCATGCCCGTGATGCTGGAGGCGGGTCCGCCGGGGCAGTATCGCCGCGTATCGCCTTCAATATCTATCCAGTTCCACCGCTATCAGCGGTGGGTCCGCGTTCAGAATTTTTGTGAGGAGGACAGATGTGGACTGCAGACTGGGAGGAGACGCTCTCCTTCCCAGGTGAGTTGTGTCATCTCCGCTGCCGCGGGCGACTGGCCCGACTTCTTTGTGATCTTAGCCATGGTCCTGGCCACTCGGGAGATCTGTCCGCGACACACAAATGGAAGAGATGAACATGTTCACCCGTGGAACTGGATCCCAAGGAGCCAAAACACAAGTAGTAGTTACACAAGAGTGATCTCTGTACAGGGAGTTTGCAGCGAGCAGGGGGTGATGTCGTGGCTGCAAGTCTTGACGCACTGTGTGGGCGTTTGTTGTCTGACGCATGTCATGAGAGCAAAACTTTAGAGATCCTTCAAGAATGGAGGGCAGGCATTGACGCCACAGTGAAATGCACAAAGTGAGGAGGAAGACATCTTGTTCCTATCCTACTGGTCAAGCCAAAATGGTCCAATGGCTCCTTTGAACACGTGGCCTTTCTGTACTGTTCTGTTCGTTTCACCCTTTTTGGGGAGTCAACTGTGATGAACTCCGGGCAGCTGTGAAGAACTGCCCGCAACTGACCTGCTCCTGCTCCCACACCCATCCACCTGCTCAATAGCCGGATGTCAAGGTGAATGCTGCACTGGGCTTCCGGGAAGAGATGAAAGCCAAGAATGCGTTGGCAGAGTTGACGAATCAGATGGAGTCCAGCATCCCTTGCTTACGGGATGGGCAGACGCAGTCCTTACCTGTCTCAAAGTTGGTTCCCGGTGCCTGGGCTTCTTGTTTCTTTTTTTTGGGGGGGGAGGGAGCCTTCTACAGGAACAACTTGTGCTTCGTGCTAACCTGTTCTCTAGCAAGTCGGTGACTTTGCGAAGCTGGATGTTTTGGGTGTTTGCTTTTTTGGTGGGTTCTGAGGGAGGGGATTGGGCTTTCAAAAAGTTGCTGTTAGGAGTTAGGAATGCTGAGGCCTTATAGGCCCTTTTTGATCCGCTCACACATGAACCTCACCCGTTGGCTTCGGCCAGGCGATGTGATCCACCTGCGCGGCGGCGCGCTGACGCCCGCGGACGTGGAGTGGCTCGAGGGCGACGTCCTGACGATTGACACCGCGGCGCTGACCGGCGAGCCGCTCCCGCGGAAGTACCCCAGCGAGGACAGACAAAGGGGGCTCCGTGCTATGATTGGAGCATGAGGTGGTTGGGGCCAGCTGTATATAATTAGCCCCTCCTCCCAGCTTGAGGTATCCAGAGCTGGGCTCCAGGAGTATGGAAAGCTCATCCTCTCCGGGACTACAGTCAAATCTGGAGAGGCAGGTGCTCGCGCTTTTGCAGCTGCCACACTTTGCTTTGTCCATGCGTTCGCAGACTCAAGAGGGGGCAAGAACCATCAGCACACTTCATATGATTTTCCCATGCTTGTCCACCCCAGCGCGGAACGCCAGTCTCTTTCATTCATCTCACTGCTGCCTCGTTCTCAAGGCCTACTGCGTGGTGCGGCTCACGGGCACGAACACGGAGATCGGACAGGGCCAGGCCGACATCATGGCTGACCGGCAGACGGCCGCCGTGAGTGTTTTCGAGCAGCGGGTCATGGTGGTGGTTGCTTGGTGGGGAGACTGGCCAATGGGTATGAGGGGCGGTGGCGAACGGACCGATGAACAGCACCGGGATGTTGTGTATCTTGCTCAGCACCTCGACCGTCCCATGGTCTTGAATACTGCTTGGTGCCTCTGATCGTCCGTGCCTATCCAAAAGCAGCTGAAAAAAGAGGCACATTTCCATGCCACCGAAAAGGCCTCGAGCAACAGCTGCTGTGAATATTCGTTTGCTGTAGGTGGGGGTGTTGATGTTCCATGCTTGTTGGAGCGGTGTGGTGACTTGCTTGGTACAAAGAGCGTTCCCCTCAATGGGAAATCTGCTTCTAGAAATGCCAGTAGCAGCGTGAGGAGGGGGAGGAGGAGGAGGACCAGAGACAATAGTTTCGTAGCGGCAGATTTTGCAGAAACCACCCAAATATATAGAACATGCGTTTTTTAAGCCTCCTAGTGCAGGGCCGGCATGCGCCAAGTCTTGCACCCTTTGGGGCTAGCAGTCGCTGGACATTCATGTGATTTGAGGTGAACATCATCATCTCGCTCGCAGTCTTGGATGCGATTTGCATCGTGCTGGTGCAAGGTTTGGTGCGAAATGGCTTCGATGAGGCGCCCCAGTGGGAGGGGTTGGTAAGGTTTGAGAATGAACGCTCCCCCATATCACTTGCAGGGGGGCGCAAGTCTACGCACATCTGATTGCAAGTCTAACCAGTGTGCGAGAAGTAAACCTGGCGGATCAGGGGTTCGCGTTCAACATCGTTTGGGGAACAAGGTGAAATCAAGTGCACACACACACAACGCTATTAGTGGCTCCTGGCATCGCTACTAGGAGCAAGGACGCTACTAGGGGCTCCTGGCATCGCCTCCGTTCCACTACCAATCTCAATTTCTTTGACTCTTCACAGCTCAAGCGCTGCTCGGCATTCTCTCGCGCGAAAAGCCGCTCGACCGCTCTCGAGCTTGTTTGCTTCGAGGACTTCAAGGGCACCCTGCTAACGGCCCTGTCCATCCTCATCGCTGCCGTGCCCATCGCGCTGCCACTGGTGCTGCAAGTGACCATGGCCATTGGTGCTTACCGCATGGCCACGGCCACCTGGCATAGACCAGTGGGTGTCGTGACGGGCACCGAGAAGCCGTGACGGGCCCTTCCGTCATCCCTCTTGAGGACTCCAGTCATTCTTGTCTCTACTCCCTGGCGATGTGAATCGATGTGACCTGATGGCTAGGTGTTGGAGGGGTGGAGCGCCACTGAGGACCACCACGCTATCGTCACGCGGATGTCCGCGTTGCAGGATATCGCGTCCATGGACGTCTTGTGCTCGGACAAGACGGGCACTTTGAGCCTGGGATGGTTGGATCATGTTGGATCATGCTGGATCCAGGGGTGGATTTTCCTGTTTGGATTTGGCCGAGAATGGGGTGGATTTTGGAGATGTTGATGGTTATATAGGAGGTGATTGTAGTTCAGGAGTTGGTGAACAGCAACCTTTTTGATTCCTTTATGTCCCGCATGTTGGGATTCGAACACAAGAATGAAACAATTCATCGCCTTCAAAAAACTGGCAAGCGTATGCAAGTGTGAGGAAACCATCAGCTATCAAAACTAATCGACCGTGATTCATTACTTAATGAATCTGAATGACTGAACTTTATAATAGACTTTTCAAGACTCCGTTGTGAAATGGACTATCTCTTTCTCTCCTTCATCATTCTTGTTTCCTGCGATCATCTCCTTCATGCTGATCGGCTTGGTTGGAATGGAAAGAGCACTGCCCCAAGCTCAGCCAAGGACAACTGCAAAGATGAGCATCAACTTGGAGAAGATCTGGACTGCCAAGAAGGCCCGAAACCGGGAAACGCTCCCAACCACCAATATGAACGGGTTTGAGAGGCTTGTCACCCCCCGGCCCCCTGCTTTTTCGATTGCGTCCTGGAATAACCAATGCAAAATCGGACTTGACATCCACCTGATCCACCAGCTATGCCGCTATGCCCGAGTCATGGATGGTTACAGCTTCCCCACCGGCCGGAATGTGCCGCCTTTCGGCCCGCGAGGAGGGCTTCAATGCGGTGGACCCCTACCTCTACCGGGCGCCGAACCAGGAGTTGGCTCAGCAGCAGATGTTGCTGGTGATGGGGATTCTGGCCTCGAACCCTGACAAGAAGGACTGGGAAGGGAGGCTGTGGTGGCCATGTTTGTAGGTCAAGAACCTCTACAAGTATGTTCAACACTTCTTCCTTTCCAAGACTTGGGTGCGGTTCTTGGGCGCTGTGAAGAGCAGACAGGTTGATGCAAGTGGGCGAGCGTGCAAGGGGTGGTTTGGATGGATCAGCGCGCCTTTGATCCACTGTATTTTGGTCACGAAGTACTATCACCACAACTTAAACCTTTTGCCTGTGCTTGCGGCACTTCTTGGCTTCCACCGTGGCGCCGTGGCGCCTCGAGAGAGGACGATGCCATTGACGGAGCCCTGCTGAGAGCCTGGGACAAGATGAAGCAGGCACTCAAAGAGTCTGCGATTCTGCTGAACTTCAGGGATGGCCGAGAGCAATGATGCAGCAAGGTCCCAGCTTAGGCACAGGTCGGAGCATCCAATGACGGATTTCATAGATGGTTTTGAGTTTTGAGTGATTTATCACATCCCTTCTGGAGCTTGGGAAGGGTACTGTACCAAACCATGGTCTTCTCTTCGGCTTGTGAGTTGGAATCCACACAAGGGTCGCCTTGTTTTTTCGCTTGTCTTGACATACTTTACCTCTAGAGCCTCTAGGTCTCCATATTTATCCCTTGTGTTTCACCGTCACCCCAGTCAGCAGTTCGAGACCGGCAGGAGCAGGGCGATGCGCCCGGCAAGATGAAGGAGGGCTATGAACAGCTGGACCTTACTGGATTCAATCCCGAAGTGAAGAGGACCCGTTGAGCGCTTTCACCACTTGCGTTTACTAGTCCTTGAAGAGGTCCTTTTGACCTCGCGAAGATTGCGGTTGCTGTGGGTTTTGGTGGGGCTGCTGTGCTAAATCCCAGGGCTGGGTGGTCAGGTCCAAATTGCACCCTCATGCAAGAAGAGAGAGAAAGAGAGAGAGAGAGAGAGAGAGACTTATATAGATAGATACATACATGCCCGTA